AATAAATAACAATAAAACCATCTCCTACTCAACATAGGTTAGATCTTCATCATATTTCAAACCATAAAAGAAAATTCTCAGTCTTCACTGCCACCAGTCCTCGAGGAATAGCCAGCCTATCGATCATGAACGAACCACAAGCAAAAACAAAATATGATAGCACATATAAAAGGAAGCCCATACTAAAAATCTTATTCAACTCAATAAAAGAACCAGTAAGATGTTAAGACTACAGAATAGATAGGTTTTTTATAATTTAGTATGTTAAAATTGTTGGAGGAGTTACGCCACCAAAAATGGAATAGGAAGTTTAAAAGCTCCAGCCCTCCAGCAAGCTGGCAAAATCTGTCATAATCCACTTTTTCAGAATTCTAGAATCTCTTGAAAAACTACCAGGGAATTTTTAATGAAGAACGAACATGCTGAATTTCAGTAAGACAATGTTATGTGTTTTAGCTTACCCACCTACCATCCCCCACACTTCCTTTCTGGGGGTGGCAGCAGGAACCATGAACATGGCAGCTTGCATTCCTAGTACCACCAGAGTAAGAAACCATATGGACTTTGTTCTAAAGAATTGTAGTTAGTGTTTTGACCTGTTAGTGGCTCCCTGCAGGGTCAGCTCTGGGGCTTGCCTTTGTTCCACCCACTTCCAAACTTTCTCGGGGCTAAAGTGGCCCCCTGGCTGGGGTTTGTCAAAAACATTTAAAGGCAAATACACTAGCTATCGCTGCCTGAAGCAAGGGAGATCCGATTGGGCAAAAAGCTTGGAAGGAAGATAACACGAAAGAAGACAGAGTTTGGATGCTTGTCCACCAGTAGCCCTGCTGTGCAAAAGCCAGACATTTTATTTTGGAAACATGAGTATTATATAAATAAGTTCAATGTGCTGGATATCATGATAACAAAATTCAGATAATGGCTTATCTTTAAAATTAAAATTTATTTCAGTCAAGACTTTAAAAAAAGTTACCTCTGTGTTAACCTTTTTTCCTTCAGTTTTGAGAAACATTTTCAATGTTCTCTTACAAATTATTAAAATTATCTATAAGTTAGCTAATAAAAGTACTGATTTGTTGATCCCTAGTTAAAGTAAGATTTTTTTTTTCAACTTAGAGGAATGGTTTAAATGGACTATATTACAAATGAAATTTTATTTTGAAATATTTCATATGACTCAAGCATTTTGGCTTACTATATTTCTATTACAAATATAGATTCTAAATTCTGTCATCTTGTGGTTACTGAAGAGCAGCTAGAAAGTGTCAAAAGACGAGTATATCATCTGCTCACATCCTGTTTGCTTCTCCCTCGACTTACTATTTTATCTAATATTAGTATTTTTCCAGGAAATCTAAGTGCCATTTTTTTACTCCTTTGACAGAAAGAGTTGAAATATTGCTAGAGAAAAACAGGAATTTCATTTTAAATATTTGTTAATTAGTTCTCATGACTTTTTTGTCTAAACTCTACTTTATTTTTTTCCCAGACTTATTCAAGTACAATTGACAAATAAAATTTGTATAATTTAAGGTCTGACATATACATCATGAAATAATTATTGCAATCAAGTTAATTCATACATCCCTCACCTCATAGTTAACTTTTTTATTCTTTTTTGGTGAGGTAGAACACTTAAGATCTACTTTTTTTTTTTAATCAAATTTCAAGTACGTAATATAGTATTATTAAATATAATCACCATGCTGTATATTAGAGCCCCAGAACTTATTCATCTCATAAATGAAAGTTTGAACCCTTTAACCATCCTTTCCCCATTTTTCCCCTCCCTATAAGCTCATGGAAAACACCATCTGGTTCTATGAGTTCAATTTTTTTAGATTCCATATATATATATAAAAGAGAGCATATTTGTCTTTGTCTGGTTTATTTCACTTAGTATAATGTCCTCCAGATTCATCCAGGTTGTCACAAATGGCAGGGATTCCTTTTTTAATGGCTAAATAATATTCCATTACATATCTATACCACATTTTTTAAAATCCATTTATCCATGGATGAACACTTAAGTTGTTTCCATATCTTGACTATTGTGAATAATGCTGCAATGAATATGGGAGTGCAGATATCTCTTTGAGATACTAGTTTTATTTCCTTTGGATATATATCCAGAAGTGGGAGATTGCTGGATCATATGGTAGTTCTATTTTTAAGTTTTTAAGAAACCTCCATACTGCTAAACTCTTTAAAGATGAAATCATCTCTTCAGTAACAACATTTGTGCCATCCTTCATGCTTTCACAGTCCATTTTATACCAATTGCATAATATGCTTATATATATGTTACATGCTTATATAACATGTATACATGTGCTTTTAGATACCTTGTGAATTATAAACACTCAAATATTTATGAAATAAATTGCATATATTATATGCAAGTGTAAGCATGGATATCACATTTCTCTTTAACAAATGAGCCTGAGTACTAATATCCATATTTTTTCTACATTTTTGGTGGCATACTCTTTCACTCTTTATACAACAATTCTGTAATATTTGCAAGATCTATTCATGTTTTTACACAAGGTATAATTCATTCATTTTCACTGCTGTATAATATTTGTTGCGTGAATATATCACAATCTAATTGTTCTGGTTGCCAGTAGACACAATTGTTGTTTCTAGCCTCTTGCTATTGTGAACAACTCTGCTATGGACATCATTCCCAGTGATTGTTTTTTTCCCATGAGAACCCATCCCTCTGTGTGTGTGTGTGTTCAATAAATCCAATTCTGATCATGTTACTCCTTTATTTAAAAATCTTTCAACCTGATGGCTTGGCATAATTACCTGGAATAATAGTCCAGATGGCCTGGAATGATCACAGGATAACTACAGCAATTCAAGCAATTCCTTTTGAGAATGTCAAAATAGAAATACTGCACAGTTGGTTTGCTACTTCTTTGTCAGCAGTACCCACCCTGTCTCTCTCTACTCTGTACTCTAGCACTACAGATGCTCTAAATATGACCAGTTGTGAAAATGAATCTCTTACCACCAAAGTTTTTCAGGAAGAATCAAAAAGAAATCTTTCTCTGGGAGGCTCTCCTAGAAAAAGAAACAATGGTGAACAGAGCATGGAAGGGTGGGGTGTCCTGTGTTCCACTGCAGCACTGTGTTTTAGAAAGATCAACTTGCTTACCTTTCTGGATCTCTTTGCAAATCCAAAAAATAAAAGCTAAAAAAAGGCAGTTATGATGCCTGCATGGCCTACCTCCTTGAGTGGTGTAGAAGATCCAATAAAATCTTATTTATTCCACATACACATATTATGTCCCAAGTCACTGTACTACGTCCAGAGAAGAAACATGTGGCCCCTAGATATAAAAGAGCTCAAAGACAAGAGCAGTGGTTCTTAACCCGGCTGCACACAGAATATTCTGGAGGGTGATTGAAACAAACAAACAAATAAACAAACAACATGGATGCCTGAGTTCCCTGCATCCTGGCCATGAGAGATTAAACAAATTTATTTAGCTCCCTTAGCTTATACCACATTGTGTATGATTGGGAAAATAGAAGCTACTTCACAGGCTAGTTATAAGTATTAATTCATAACACTTGCTTACCCGTGTACCTGGTTGAAAGTACACAGGTGATAAATTGCTGGGAGTGGGGTAGGAAAAATAGGTAACTACACAGCTGGAGTAGATTTTTGCTACAATGGAGAGAAACATGCAGGTGCTCTGAAGACCCCAAGAGGGTCATCTAACTCAGCTGGGATAGCCACCCTGAAGGATATGATGTCAGACAGAGTTTTAATTCAAAGGTGATTAGTCAGACAAGCCAGGGAGGCAACGGGAGTGAGGAACATCCTAGAGAGGGTAGTCTGCTCAGTTCTCCTGGAGTACGCGAAGGGATGAAACTGAGAGTACATGGGCCAGATCTTGAGGAGCCTTGAAACCATGCAGAGGGGGTTGGCTTCCAAGCTGCTGGCTATCGGAAGCCAACAAAAAGTTTTAAGCTGGGAAGAACGCGGTAAGAGTTGATTTAAGTTAGGTCACTGCGTCCCGGCATGGATTCGCGGTGATCAAATTTTGAGACTGGAGGAGGGTGATCAGTGGGGGCGGTAGCCTGGTTTTAGGCAGTTGAATTAGGAACAGAGTAGGGGCCCGAAAGGAAAGGGGGAAAGAGGTAAAATTTATAGCCCTTGACAGCATAAGGAGGTAAGTGATGCGAAGGACACGAAGGCCATCCTGGACCTTGGCACTAACAATGGGCAAAGGAGGGAAGTGCCATAGCCTAGGGATGGGGGTCACGGCAGGAGATGAAGCTCTGGTGGACTAAGGCAGATTCCGTCTAAGGCTAGGTGAGTTTGAAATGCCCAGAGGCCAGGTGGA